CTGGGGGCTGAGGGGTCTCCTTACCCGCAGTAGTTGGGTGGCACCATGCCATAAACGTGGACGGCGTCGCACAGCTCCACTGCGATCACCATGGTGAACCAGCCGGTGCTGAGCCACGAGCGCGACTTCTCCCTGGGGAGGAGAAACCGGGTGGGGACGGGGGAGAGGTGACATGGATAACAGACCCCCCCTCAGGGTCCCCAACCTGCCCCAGGGACCCCCAGCCCGGTGCTGCAGCCAATCTCATGGAGCAGCCCCAAGAGCCAGCTCTGCCCCAGGGACCCAGAAAAGGGGGGGGACACGGTGCAGGAGGTGGCTCTGAGGTACCTGTCCTTCCCTGTCTCCCCCCGAAACAGGTCATCAAACTGCTTCATGCGGCTGGGGGAGACGACGTAGGCCGTCATGTTGGGGAAGGAGGCGCTGACGCGTTGGATGATTTTCAGGAGGCTCTTCTGCATCTTGGCAGGCGGCCCCCAGAAGATGAAGATGGTCTCTGGGGTCTTGTTGACGAACTCCTGGGGCCGCTTGAGGACGCGGTAGAGGCTGGAGTGGGCCACCACGCGGAAGCTGGTCTTGTTGCCCACGTCAACCTCGTAGCCGGTGGTGGGAGCGTCGTTCATGCGGATGGTGCACTCAGCCCTGTCGATGGCCGTGCCCAGGCGGGTGCCCAGGAGGTGGCTGGAGCTGGTGACGATGACGCACTGGTGGCAGTGAGCAGTCAGGGTCTGGTGATGACAAGCGCTGTGAGCAGGTGACTTTTGGTGTCACCACGACCCGTCAGGGAGGGACGGAGCTGGGACAGGGGACAAAGCATCACCGTCCCCTGCAGAGCCGCTGTCCCACCGGAGGGGACGATTTGGCTGGATGTCAGCAGAGGGCCAGATCCTGCGCCCGCCACCAAGGCCTGGACCCCGTCGCCCAGCCCGTACCTTGTTCCCGCAGACGGGCAGGTACCCGCTTTTCACCCCCCACTTCTTGAGGTCGGGGGGCCGGCGGGCTCTGCCCCGCAGGCGGCTGTAGGGGAAGACCTCGCTCCCGCTGCCGGAGCTGTAGATGATCAGCAACATGATCAGAGCAAAGAGGACCCCCAGGGCGGCGGCGCGCTGGCTCTGCAGGCAGCCGCTGCTCCCACTTCACGGGCATCAGCATCTGGCCCCGCTCCCCGCGGCATCTCCAGCGGGATGCCCGGGGTCCCCAGGGAGATGCTTACTGTCCCCGGGGTGATGCCCCGGCACTCACCGTGCTGCCACTCATGTCTTTGTGCCGGCCTCAGTGCACAGCGATCGCCGGCGTCCCACGAGCACCTGCAAGGCATGCGGTCACCACCAGCGCCGGCCCCTCGCCACCGCGCTCGGGCTCCCGTCCCCACGCTGCTCGGGGAGAGGCTCCCCAGGTGCTGGCGGGGATAAGGGATGAGCTGCCGGACAGCCCAGATCAGCTGTGCCGGAGCAGAGCCAGGCGCGGCAGGCACCCGGCCAGACCCCTGGCTCCCCCTTTCAAGGGGAGGACAAACCCCTGGCACCGGTGTGGGGAAGGGAAATGCTGTGGGCAGAGGCTGGGCGAGCTCTGCGGTGCCGAGGAGCCAAACCCGACCACGGCTCGTGCTGGGGAGATCCCCGCGGCGGGCCACACTCCCAGGAGAGATTATCCCCCGCCGGCGGGGCCAAAGCCGCTCAAACCTGCAGGGTCAGGGAGGGTAAACCTGCCGCTCGCGCAGTGAAATCCCATTGA